TTACCTAAAATGATTGTAAAATCATAAAATAAATAGAACATTTGTCGTTTTGTCGTGAATAACATAATAGCAACATAACATAATAACATAAGCAAGAAAACGTTTATATTTTCACTCATGCTACGCATTCGTGAAAATATAAGTTTTCTTGCTTCTCGATGAAATAAAATATGTTATTCACTCTAAAATGACAAATATCCTCTATGTATTTTGAAATAAAATGGAGTTTAACGTCCAACTTTTTGCCCCCAATCGAGCTAATATATCTTGGACTTCTTTGGTTAATTTCTTTGATAAAACAACAGGTAAGTAAATATACGTGCATGTATTCTGAAATAAAATGGGGTTTAACGTCCAACTTTTTGCCCCCATTCGGGCTAATGAAGACGGACATAGGTCATCAAAGTGTGGGAGCTTAAGATGGCCTAGTGGCCTAGAGTGTCGCGCATCGAGTTCTAGCTGGCCGGTCACCTCTGGCTTACGGTCGTGATTTCGATCCCTGACTGTGAGCGTATGTGGGCGCCTTCTCAACCTCGCGAGTTTACTCCGAATTCCTCCCACAGGAAAGACCCCTGCGCGTGCGCTTAGGTCATAAAAATAAGACTTGTCTGCGATATCACCCTCGTTGGAAGTGGACGTTAAACACTAATAAAAGAAGAAGCCATGCAGATAGTGGCTCTACGGCCTAGTCTTATTTCGAATTCTGGCTGTCATTGGTACTTTTACGCGCACGTCAACGTGTACACGGGACCTCAGTTTTCGTTCAACCCGAAGGAATAGACGCTGTTCCTTGCCAGACCCGCCGTCCTGCATCATTGACAAGGGGAAACCACACTGGAAAATCCCGAGGAACTTTCTCGGCCAAACATGCATCCTGTCATAGTGTACTGCACTATGTTTTATGTCTATTAAAAACGTTTTTCTTTCATTCCGTCAATATAATTTGTGATTCAAATCAAATTTCGTAGTTTGGATGGAACGAAAAACCGTGTACACGTAAAAGAATCCTTAATAGTTAGAATTTGAAATCAGAGTAGGCCATATCGTCACTGTCCGGGTAAAATTTTCCCAAAAGCACACTGTATTGCGCGCGGCCTCATTCATTAGCCTAACAGGTGCAGAAAAGTAGGACATTAAGCCACATTTCATTTCATTTCGAATTGAATATTGGTGGGTATTTAAAGGAGCTAAATCGCTAAAATATGGGACCAAGAAATTGACACAAATGGGTCGCAACACATATAATAATGTAATATGAATGTATATAAACTGATTTACATTCAATCGTTTCTGTTTTTATTGTAATTTCTATAATCAGTTATGTTCGGCGAAATGCGCCAGAAGTTTCAATTGAACAACAATCTTTAGCGTCTGGTTATTCCAGTCTACACCGATGGTATTTATTGCGCATGCTCTCCAGATAAGAATTTAGCATCACCATTTGACATGACTTGTAGAATATGTCTAGCCTCGTTCTTTGAGTCCCTTGTTCCTAATGGCACTGAAACGCATTATGGTACACGATTCGTGTACCAATGGTTAAATGTTTATTTTGTCTTGAATATTGGATATCAGAAGCCCATCTTTCCCTTTAAGATAACAAGACCAATGTTGATTTGAATTGACAAATAATTCGTTTTTTCAATGTTGAAGATTTTTGATGATATTGAGTTAGAGACTTAGCTTAACATTATCATTTTTTTTTCGTTTTATTGTAGAAGAGTTGGTACGGTCTTTATTGGGTCTGCTGTATTTTACTAGATCTAAAATCATACTCTATAATATAGAGACAGTTGATGATATCACTCATATGTTATATTCATCGTATGAATATTTGCCCCATGGGCACAGAAGTTTCCTAGTCCTATGTGCTGGTACAAATCTACAGAAGGTTCTTCATCAAGTAAGTGTTATCCTTTTAAACATTAATTCTCTGCAGCGTTGGTAGGAGTATTTTATTCAAATACGATCAAACTAGAGCTTCATGTAAAGACTGAAGAATAAACAATCCGAGTAATAAAAAACATATTTGAGGTAATAGCAGTGAAGATATAAACTATAAGGTATTTTTGAAACCATTTCCAAATACAAAGCTTGCATCGAGCGCAGAATAGATTAGACACTTAGACACTTATTTGTTCATTAGAAATATTACACTTTAGCCAACAGAATGAGAAACCCGTAATACATGTCGTATTTCGTATTTATTTTGATGTTCTGTTTTGAAATGTATAGATGAACTCTAATTCACCCTTTAGCCCATCTCATTAACTTTTAGATCTATAAGTGGTGTTTTCTTAATTCTTAATATAATTATGGGTAATAATAGGAATATCAGTCTATACAGTGTGCGTCATTAAGTTGTGTAAATCTAGTGGAAAGTTAGCGGCCATAGTCAACTAGTCAATGATATCGCGCTCAGAACACTACAATGGTTTTAACAATTGAAGGCAGCAAGTATGGAATCAGCAGGCTTTGTCCTGTAATGTGTGTTTATTAATGTCAATATTAATGTCAATCTTTAATTGATTCCAACAAGGAGTTTTAAATGATTTTCTAGCACAAAAACGTAAGCTGTGAAAGGGCAACTCGTTTCTATCAATTAACATCGATGTCAAGGTTCTATTTTACCCTCTATGTTTTTTTTTTTATTTAATCGTCTAGATTGTTATCTAAAGAACACACCCGGTCCTTTTTTTAAATATAGATAAAGAACATGACTATTAGTCCTTTCTCATATTAAACTCAATATTTTCCATGATATTCGAAATTAAAAGCACAAATAAGAATTCAATATTTGTCAATTTCATTCAATATCGATGTTATCTTGCCGTGAAACTACAGGATCGCAATATCCAGTATTTAAGACACAATTAACATTTTATAATCAGCAGACGAGTCGCGTATTCTGTGGTTCCGTGCAGGACGTAGAGCTTGGCAAGGGAAAACGTATAGTCGGTCGGATGAGACGAAAAACCCAGTTCCCGTGTACACATTAGCATTTGGACTTGGATATAAGAGTAGGTCATACCTTATGGTGTATGCCGGTCTCCATCAGCCCAGTCGGAGTACATTAAACAAACCCCATTTCATTTATATTCTTATGGACGCCATTTTGTAATGAACAAATAAAACATATCCTACAAGACAATGTGGAAGTAATTAGTAACGGTTGATTCACAAACGACGAAATAATAATTTAAAAAATGTTCACGTATTTCACCGAACATAATTGATTAGAAATTTTTTTTCAAAAATTGAATATAAATCCTTTTACATACATTCCCATTACATCAATATGTTCCAAAAAATAGAGCCATACCGTTAGGCTGTAACCCCCCCCCCCCCACACACACACACACACACACACACCTCCAATACTTAATTATATACTCGCCGTAAAATTAACTTTTCAGGCGAATAAATTTGATGAGGTGAATGAATGGAGAACAGCTCTAAGACAACTTTCTAAATGGCTGATATTACTTCCCCCAAGAAATTCTGTACAGATAAATCGTCATGATATCCAGCTAGACAACGTTGCTTTGATTGTTCTTCCTGAAAACCCCGTCAGTGAGGTGACGGATACATTTAGAAATGTAAGTATTAAAAATTAAAAAAAAAGAATTCTACACATAAACTGATGTAAGTGTGGATGAATGGTTTGGTTGAAGAGTCCAACATTATGATTAGAAACGATACGCTGTTGTAAGCTTACTTTAGCAATACCGATAATGAAATGAAATTCTTCTTAACGTCCTACTATTCTGTACCAACCAGTGTACATATCAAGGAAAGTTTGCCCGAACAGCGGTGCTACGGCGTACTCTTATTTCGAACTACAGCCCACAACGTGTACACCGGACCTCTGGTTTTTGTGCCATCCCATTGACTAGACACTGTTCCTTGTCATTTTCATTTCACAGTGACATAACAACCCTTTATAAATCCAATTTCCCAGCCTTAGTGGGGACGCGGTTCGCATCTTACAACGTGGGCGTGCGTTGGATAACTGCGCGGAGGTTATGAAAGGAGTAACGGTTGTATTAGGATGGAATAATTGGACAAATAATTGAATGGATGGAAATGTTATGGAAGAGTGGGAGCAAATTTTTTATGAAAGGACAAACTGCTAGATTTGTATTCTTTTATGATTTTTTATTCTCCAGTTTTTGAAGAATGATTTTGAGAATGTTTTTCAAAACCTGGAATTAAATGAAACCACATCTAATCCATCCACGATGTCACTCATGCTAGCAGATAAATTTACAGAGGTAATAGTGCAAATGACGTCTTCTATATTATACCAAGCGACATTTTAAAGAGTTCCGAGCAGATCCATGAAAGTTATTACTGTAAAAACTACAGAAAGCGTCAATGGATACAGGGAATTTTTTTATGGAATCTGAAGCACTGAATTTGGTAATGTCGGCATACCTTAGATAAGATCTGACGTATACCTTAGTCTCAAATAAAAATGAAGATTTCGAAATTAGCACGATTCAACGTTTGATCGGGCATAATAGTGACAAGCATCACGTCCGACATAGACCGTAGAAAACAAAATTTTTAGTCTTATATATGTTGTTGTAAATGTGTATTCAAGATTATTGTCTAGTTACACTACTTAGTTTATGTAAGTATAAAATTCTCAACTCTGTGTTAGTACATAGAAATCAATCTCATCTCAAATGTTATAATTCGACACAGATAAAATATAAAATCTCACTTCGTATTCTGTTTCTAATTTGTATTCATTGGTTTGGGATGTGAAAGCTTTGTGGTGTGTTTTACCCATTTATGTAATGAGTATTTTGATTGATTGTATTTGTTTTTTTTTATATATTCTAAACGTTTAATTTCAAATTTTTCTCTTAAAGCGTTTTGCAAACTGTAGAAAAGCCATTTTATATACGTTACTATGGAAACCAGGTGGCAGAGTGGCTAGTGCTGTGGGATATATCAACAAGGACTTTGTTGTGTCACATGAACATGATATATTTCCCAATACCAAATATGGATTTAACAATCGTAACTTCAACGTGGCAACGAATACAGTCAGTATATACTTTGTATCTATTCAACAATCTAGGCCATAATCGATTTTATATTCAATAAAATGAGACTTATCCTATACGTGTACTTATACTATCCTCCAGAAATGATCCCCGATATCAGTTTAAAGTAAGGTTAAATCGTTGGAATTCAAAAAGGAAAGTTTGGAATTCGAAAGCTTAGACCAAAGTGTTTGCGCTTAAGCCTACTCCACAACCAACCGTACGTGCTACTATGGGCAAATTTTAGTAGACCTGTGCTTGAGACTGCGCGTCACTTGCGTGTGTTCGGCACCGTAGAACTCTAAGATCGCAGACTGGCCAGAGAGACTTTTAGTCTTGCACTTATACAATATTTTCACCGGTTTCTTATGGCTGGTCTGCGAACTACCAAACCCTACGACCCGTGTGTATCAAAACACGTACGGCGGGTTGTGAATTCGCTATGCTGCTACAACCACTGAGATATTGGGATGATATCGGTGTGGATTAATTAGCTCGCAATATTAAGCTTTTTTCCTTCTGCAAATTAAATTCTAGAACATTTTGAAGTATTAGAAAAATAAAGGTTTGAAGTTTATCTGGATAAAAAAAAAATCCTATTTAGTGTAAATTGGTATATAAAATGAGTAAAAGGCACCAGTTTACGTTACCACGTCTTATGTAATCAATGCACGCGCTATCGAACCAACGATCGACGCCGTGTGATGTGAAGTGACATGTAGAAGGCACTTGAACTTATAAAGGTCAGTCATCTTACACAGAGTTAGAAGGTTTTCGAATTTTCTCTGTGAAAGAGAATGCTTATGTTTCGGACAGCGAACACCATTGGCGCAGAGAGTATGACTCAGGCTTCCTAGCAAGTTGGTCACACAGGGGCGTATCCAGGAATTTTTGCAGGAGAGGGTTTGCCAGGTTCCTGAGAAAATGTATCCCCCCCCCCCCTCGGCTTGAACTTTTGTGAGAAATAAATGGTCTCTATTGTCATTTTGGCGTATATACATACACATTGAGCTTTTTAAACAGAGAAATCCAACATATATCCTGTTTGACGTCAATTTTTATTATGAATTAATACGATGACATTGTGATTCAATTTAATTATTGATGCAAAGCATTAATTTTGATATCACATATATCATTATCTCGCGCTTTGAGTGCCTATCCTGTCGCACCATCTGACGATAAAGGATAAAGCACAATTATGACACTTTTCTCACAAAAAAGTTGTTTTACAAAAGGTTGTTTTACAAAAAAAAAATGTATGTAGCTGAGCGGGGGGGGGGGGGGGTCTATGCCGACGTTGTCGTTGGCTCTTTTTTTCCTGTTTCCCCATGTCAGGGTACAGCATGTCAGGATACAGGATAGAAAGCATGACAATGACAAATCGCCTAGTTGTTCGGAAGGAACGAACCCCGAGGTTCCGTGTTTAAGATTATCTTCATTAATCCGGTTGGTGCAGGTCGTTAACCCTATTCCATTTAGATTTTAAAACTAAAGTTCAAATGATTGTCATAATAAAGTAGATATTTGTATTATCTGTTTTAGTGGGCACCGTTTGTGATGAAATCTACAATAAATAAGAAAGTGGTATATGATGGCTTTTGCTTGGATTTATTAAAAGAGTTGGCATCTGCCATGAACTTCAGGTAGTTATATTCATCTCAGTGTACCCTTCGAAACACATTTTTGTTTAAAAAAACACATTTGTTGCGAGGTGCTAAAATCCAACCACTGCTGTGTACGATATTAGGTTTATTAAAAAGTTTTTATCACCCCGAATAAGGTTCCCTAAACTCTGTGAAAATTATGGAAATCAGTTAAATATTACAATATGATATTTTGGCCGATTTGTTAAACATTTTGCACACATAGATACATTCTGACTAGAACATGTCGGATTTAGTTAGACTAGAGAGTCAAATTAAGTCAAATCAAAAATTGATTTTTTACTTGCAATCACTAGAGATCTCCAAATGTTAATGCCCCTTAAGCCTTACTATAATTTATGAAAACTGTTAATATATGACACCATTTCTTATTGGCGGATTTCATATAGTTACAATTTCTATTGTGCTTAGGTATTAAATGAAAACTTCAGAATATGTGACCAACACGTCATAGTTGGCCGACGAGAGTGGAAAGTACTATTTCCGCAAAACACACAGATTGGATAGTTTGGGGAGTGAGGTGGGTTAGGGACAGCTGTGTTGCCCAGATCACAGTTCACTGAACTATAAACGTAAAAGGTTCGCTGTTTAATCTAATTAGCGTTTACGCATTATTAGTAACGGTCCGTTGTATAGTGAAAACAGGTGGGGATGAATGAATGGATGAATGAATGAAATGGAGTTTTACTGTACGTCAGCTCCAACCGGCCTATTTTGTTTCAGACATATGATGATCGCAGTGTGACAAAATAAAAAATCACAGAAATATATATATATCCATAAATCAACGATTCTATATAAAATTAAAAATAAATATCAAATGCTTTATGAATATAAACAAGTAAAATAAAAGAAAACAGGTTACATGTAAAGAGTTAAAACTGATAATAAAAATTGTCCCAATTCAGGATCTTACAATAAAAAAATGGCATAAAGTCTGACAAGGACAATAATTAGTAAAATGTCATACTAAGATATTAATCTAAAGTATTTATATATCTCCACCATCGGTTAATAAAGTTATAGAATCAGTAGACGTAAATATAGCATGACAGGAAATTAAAGCCGCTTAATTGTTCCAGCATATTACTATGAAGATGATAATAATTGTAAAAACAAATCATTGTATTGTTTCGTCTCTTTGTCACTACTATGAAATGCCGTTATGGTAAACACCGTGTATAGTAACATTATGTTATTCTTTACTTCTTAATTTCGGATATTGCGCTTCCGTATAATTTAGTATAAAAACTACTTATAAATGCATTATAACGGTTCTGGGAGGTTTATGTTTCTATTTTAATCTTCTTTCGACAGAGTTTTATTGTTTTATAAAACATTGTACATCGTTTATTACGTTGCTTGTGTCAGTATCTTAGTGTTATTGTTTATTTTTATAATTTTCATACCATGCGTAGTAAGATTTATATTTATGAACCAAACATTCCTATGAATCTGATAATTAAAATAAAAACATTATTAAGATGTAACCAGTGGTTGAGGTGGTGGGGGTGGTATTTTCACACACTACCAGACTCTCACTTCGAAACATTGTCACATGATTTCAAGGCCAACATTCGTTTACTGGCTTAAACTTAAAGACGCATTATGTAAGAACTAAATCCGCCTATTACTGGTTTTTATTTTGGCTTCAAGTGTTATATAAATTATTATTTAGACGTTTATAAATTCATATGAAAAGCCACTCTCTAGATTATAGGATGGCGGACATTGAAACAGATTGAAATACGATCGCCATTTAATGATTTAATAAAAAAAATGCCGAAACGAGCGAGGCTGAGAGAGAGAGAAACCGCTTTAACGTCCACTCGACACAAACTAGGTCATTTCGTGACTAACACATGTTTCAATTTTTTTTAAATAATTCGCTAGCGCGCAGGGGTCTTTAGCAGTGGGAGGAAATCGGAGGACCCGGAGAAAATCCTCGAGGTTGGACAGGCGACCCTACTGCTTGTCACGTACAATCGGGGAATCAAAACCACGCCAGTTGACTCAATGACATACCTTATGATACAACGTGTACGCGCTAACCATCCGGCCATCCAACCGCTCTCTCGAGTAACAAGTAATGTTGCTACGACAATAAACAATCTATGACACACCTTGTCAAAACTTGAAACAGTGATAACTACGCCCAGAATAAAGTAATTAGAATGACATTTTCAAGTATCTATTTGGGAACTATTATATCAAGAACGACCGGCTCGTTATTTAAATCTTACATAATGCATCTTTTAGGCTACTGAAACAAAATTCCTAGATTACATGTCATAGTCAGGTCATAGATACCTTCAAGCGTTGGTTGGCATTCTAGGACGATAAAACATAGATGGATATGAATTACCTTACGAGTAATCGATTTGTAATCATTGTCGATCAATATTGTGTAATAAGGTATGGTGTGAAAGTCTGATTTGCCTTTCAGTTGGGCATATTATGTAATTGTTTGCAGAACATGTCGCAATTTTTATACGCCCACATTTTCATGTGGACATATATTGTCGTCGCCCCTGTCCGCCCGGACGCCCGTCCGTCCATAATTTGTTTGTGGACACTTTACAGGTCACACTTTTTATCCGAGTTTGACGAAACATGAAATAGGTTTATCTCCCAAAGATCTCGGTTCCTTTCGATATTGTTGTATTGGATCGTAACTTCATGGATTATGGCCCCTGATTGTACGAAAAGTCACCTTTTTAGCTAACGCGAACTATATGTTTCGTACAATCAGGGGCTATAATAATCCAGGAAGTTATGGTCTGAAATGCGCGAATATCAAAAAGGACAAATCTTTGGGACTGAGGCTGAGGTGGGCGGGGGTTACACTTGGTTTACAAATTAGAAGCTTGTGTTTTGGTTAATGTTTGATTTCCCCTTTCGGCAAGTTTTACAGATCGTGCAAGTTATTAGCGGCCATTAACAAGTTTTCTTTAATGGTTCTATTGTAAGATTTTCCAATAATCATATCCCAAATTAACTCATCGAACACCTGCAGTATAACAACAGTTTATACTCAAATGTCTTAAGGCAGTAACATACTCATCTACAGATTCACTGGAAGATTGTGATCTTGTGTTATTCACTTTTTATTGTGAATTCTTTATTTTATCAATGTTTTATATCTTAATTGATTTATGTATCAATTGAAATTACATGTACTGATGTCACGGTTGTGCTAGATTTCGTGTGTGTTACACTCGAGTGGAACAACATCATTTACGTTTCTATTTGATTTCCAGTTTTTATGAAACCTATAACAGACCAGTATTAATTAATCAACTGGTTTCATTCTAATTATTCTGGACTGAACGAGATAAAGGGGAGTGGGGGATGGGGGAACCAGTTTTTTCAACACGATTTTGCTTCCGGACCATCTCCTAAATTGTTCTAGATTATCTTCATGAAACTTTGTACTCACATAAACCTAACCTATTATAATTGCTAATTATAAATTTCTCGGATTTAATCATTTTTGTATTTCATGAAAATAACTTTGACTTAGGTATATAATGGCGGAGTATTTTGTTTTCATTATCATTATGAAACACTGTTATGAAGCTTTTCCAGAAGTCAAAAGTTTATTTATTGTGTAAACCTTGTTTTGGGTTTCTGTTTTATATTTACGAAATGAAATGAAATGAAATGGGGTTTAACGTCCTACTGTTCTGCTCCTAAACTGGGCTAATCAAGACGGGCGTACGCCATACAGTGTGCTATGAGGGAAATTTTGCCCGGGCAGCGGCACTTCGGCCTACTCTTATATCAAATTCCAACTGCCAAGGGATCTTTTACGTGCACGCCAATGTGTACACCGGACCTCGGTTTTTCGTCCCACCCGAACGACTAGACAGCTGTCCTTGTCAGGCCCTCCGTCCTGCATCACTGATATGGGGAAACCACGCTGGAAAATCTGGATGAACTTTCCCGACCAATATGCATTTACAATATACAGCTTGCTTAGTATCTAAATATTATTTAATTATAACAAGGAAACGAGCCAAACTGCGACACACGAAGATAATGAATAAAATAGATAAGAGTCTACAACCAGCCTTATCTATTGTGTAATACTATCATTAACGAAACAACTATCATTAATATTTAACTCCTGATGACCATTGTTATTTTATTTCGTCTTTGATGTTTATTGTATATCTCAGTAAGTATCTATGTAGGTTAATTAATTGTCATGAACTGACGAGTTATGGCATTGAGGTTTAGTTGAGTGCGTTAGTGAGTGGCGCTATTATGTTTTATTTATTTATAGAAAGATCATTAACCGGCAATAATCTTAACGAATCACGGACAATACTTTTCTTTTGTTCATGGAGAAAACGGGGAATACTCACTAGTCCGCGGGTGCACTAGTCGGTGGGTTCACTAGTCCGCGGGTGCACCAGTCCGCCGATAGAGTAGGCCGGTAACACCGCTATCAGTGCAAAGTTTCCCTCATAGTACACTGTATAGTGCATGTCCTTCTCAATTAGCCCACTCGGGGCAGAACAGTAGGACGTTAAACCCCATTTGAAATGGGCCATTTCATTTAATTTTCCTACTTTTCTGCGCCAGTCGGACTATTGAAGATGGGCATACGCTATGCAGAGTGCTATGACGGAAATTTTTTAGGGACAGTGGCATTTCTCCATCGAATTCCATTTGTAAGGGGCTCTTTTATGTGCACGCCTATGTTTCCAACATAAATTGAGGGCAGACCCTTAACTTTTTCGTTGCCTGTCAACATATTGTGTTTCTTTTTTTATAGTTTCACATTAATCGAACCTACTGATGGACAATGGGGTGTGGTGGCAAACGGATCATGGACAGGTCTAGTAGGTCAAGTCTTGAGACGGGTAAGATAATACGAGGAACAAAACACAATCCTATAACAGTAACCCAAAATTGGGTCGTGAACAATCAAGGGCAGATCGTAACTTGGAATTTTACAGCAAAATTGCCAGCTCGAAATGAGTATGCGGAAATTCCACCACTGTCAGGGCAAATTCCCACCCCTAACATTGTATATTCGAACAATATTTAATATGTCTATCTATGTTCAAAGTAATGTCGTAAAATCAACATTCTTGATAAATAGCTCTGTTAACATGTCAATGTCAAGAAAATGTCAAAATATATAAACAAGTACTGGAGAAAGTATAGTCTAAACACCTGTTTTTAAATAGTGCATTAGTTACTAGGAGACAATGACCCCTTCAAGCACCAAAGAGATTCAATCCAATGTTCATTTGAAGAAACTCGACTGAATACTGAAATAGTAGAGTGGCTAAACATATAAATATTAATAAACTTTGACGTCTTCAGTAAAGCATGAAACTTTGCACATGAGCACTGTATGATTTCTAAGGATCATAAAAAAAATGAGAAACAAAAAAAAAAAAAAAAAAGAAGAAAAATATGACGAGCCCTGGTGGCAGACATCTTGAATTCCAAAGTGATCACCAAAATAAACTAGTTTTGTTGAATTCTCCAATTCTACTGCATTTCGGGCAGGATATAAAGTGCCTATACCCCAAGTTTTCAATATCAAGGAACGGCCGTCGTATTGGATTTCAAGATGGCTATAAATGCCAGAACCAGAATTCTATCGCTTATTACATTTGGTGTGCATGTCACATCAAAATCCAAGATGGCAGCCACTGCATACGACTTTTTCAAATGTAAATGGAGTAATTTAGACATACTTAGTACTTTGAATTCATAGATAATGCGATCACCTCCCTTATTTTTAAAACATATCGTCGCACACCAGTCCCGATACCCTCACAATGTCCAAACGTTTATGAATCAACTGTTCGCCTATACTGTCATTTTCAGATGAGCCAACAACAAATTACTAGTTGCCATGAAGATACGCCATTTTCGCGGCCCTTTTGCATTTCAAGCTGTTTGGCACCAGAGCGCGTCATTTTATGGAGTCCTAGTACCACTGTGCATTTTATGCTTTACTCAAGAAGTGAACAGTTCTAGTCGAAATTTATACTAAATGCACTAAATATTGATTTCGTTTCAGGAGGTTGACCTTGTTGTAGCACCTTTGGTCATAACATCTGAAAGGTTAAAGGTCATGGATTTCAGCTTCCCTTTTTTTCATGACTATTCGGCGGTCTTGTTTAAAATGCCCGATCCGAATAGATCCAAGTGGAGAAAATTAGCAGAACCTTTTAAATGGCAGGTTTTTGTGTGTATCATTGCATCTTTCTTGCTACTGACTTTCCTACTATATACGCTGGAAAGGTGCAATCCTTTTTATGTAACTCAGAATAAGAAAAGATATAGTTTTCTCGATATGATTCTCTATGTTTATGGAGCAATGTTAATTCAAGGTAGGTTTATATGTTTAAAAAGATCATTAATGGATCAAATATGAATGCGGGGATTTGGATGGCCGAATGGTTAGCGCATGCACGCGCACTGCATCGTAATGTCTGTTATTGAGTCAACTGGCATTGTACCTGACAAGGAGTAGGATAGCCTGTCCAACCTCGTGGGTTTTCTCCAAGTCCCCCGGTTTACTCCCACTGATAAAGGCCCCTTTGTGCAAGCGAATTATTGAAATAAAATTGAACCACGTGTTAGTCCCTGAATGACCTAGTTTGTGTCGAGTGGACGTTAAAGATCCCTTGACAGTTGGAATTCGATATAAGCTGTCCGGGCAAAATTTCCCTAATAGCACACTGTATGGCGTATGCCCGTCTTCATTAGCCCATTTCGGAGCAAAACAGTAGGACGTTAAACCCCTTTTCATTTCATTTCTCTCTACAAATAAAGGCGGGAATTACTTCAATTTCCATTTCCCAGGATATCATTAACGGGAGTTTGGTTTTACATACCTCCCGAGCGACTAGATAGACGTTTACATTGTAATTCAACTATACAGATCCTGGCCTGAATAGCCGGATTCCACTGTACTTACACAAAGATGAATACATACTTTAATGTGGACCTACTCTCGTATATACATTTTTTGATCGACAGGTGGTCCAAACCAACCCAAGTCATCGAGTGGTAGATTTCTTGTTGCATTTTGGTGGCTTTTTTCTATCATAGTAGCTGCTACCTACAGCGGCAATTTAATAGCATTTTTAACCGTGGCGAAGGATAAACCACCGTTTGAAACATTGGATGAATTGGGTAGCCAGAATACATATAGATGGGGTACTCTCGGTGGCACTGTATGGGTGACATTTCTTCAGGTAATTATTACTGTGCTAAACGTAGGCTTTCATTTTATACGACGACATTTAGGTGTAGGCGTATTATGCTATATTTACTTATCATTTTAGCACATATCTAAATATGATGGTACTTGTATTACAATTTCGTTTCGATTTTTTTTTCGGATTGTAATCTCACCTATTTTTCCAAAATCCTCATTCATTTGTTGAAATTATGAGGAATTATATGAAAATGAACGGGGATTTAGACTATCAAAGATATCACACCATTCTTGGTATAATTTGTCTGGTTTCAGAGCTCCAAAGGTAAAGAAGTACAGCAGTTATGGGAAGGTGTTTCTGAATTTATTAAAAGTGATCCTGATGTGCTAAGTGAATCTACAGCCGTACATATGGAAAAAGTTGAGACTGGAAACTATGCCTATATCGCTGACAAAGGAATGTTAGAAATAGAAATGGCCAAAAAGTGTGATTGGGTGTTTTTAAAAGAATTATTTTTTCCTTTACAATATGGCGTTGGTTTACCAAAAGATTCGCCGTTTTATAATCTTTTTTATGACGAGTAAGTTTTTTGAAATTAAAAGTTTCTTTTCTTTTCGCAATACACTCACGATTTGCATACTCTTATTTTAGGGGATTTTAGCAGCTTCGTACACAGCGTATACTTACCAGAGTTATTCTCTTTTGTTGTGAAATGTTGATTAACTCTGCAAGGTGTGTCAAATAAATATAAATGTCATAAATAATAATGAAACGCAGGGCATTTGTTTAGTATAAGCTAGTCAGGGGCTGTGGGGCAATATTTAAGAGAAAGTACGGCGTCCACAGTCCAGAACAATGAATACCAATTAGAAACAAAATACGAAGAGAAATTATAGAGGGGGGCGGGGACAGGTTGAGCACTCAATGCCTGTGAGTCATCCGCGCCGCCTCCGATTTACACTTGCCCTAGTTTTTCGAATTCCTTTAAATATGCCCTGATAGATACAGAAATTGCAATATCCATGTAATTACCATTTTGTTTTAATTATAAAATAGTAAAATTTGTGTTTCTTCTTTTTCGCTAGGATGTTGAGAATATACGAAACCGGTTTACTACAAATATGGAAACAAAGATGGTGGCCAAAACAAGGAACGTGTAAAGGGTCTTTAATATCCGAAGTAAGGAAGATTGAATTAATTGATATCCAAAGTGCTTTCTACGTCATTGCTTTAGGAATAGCGATTGCTTCAACAATCATTTTAGGAGAAATTATATACACTCGTCAAAAGAAGAAATCAGAGTGAATAGTTGTAGTGTTATAAATTCAGATTACCAGTAGGCATTACACGGTGGTTTTCGGCCATCTATTGAAATTGGAACCCTCAAAATATACAAGTTGTTATGGCCTTAATTGATGAACTAGAGGTGATTAGTAAATAATACAATAACAAGTCGAGTGTACAGAACCGGACTTATAAGGCATGAGCTTATATGGCATGAGCTTTAGAGCCCGCAGATATGGTCCACGACCAGACTAAAAAATCACCAGGAAACTATACGGCCAACTTTGTAATACCCAGCGAACCAAAGTAGCTCTCCCGAGAAACAAGGACTTATGTATTGTATATTATGCAGAAGATCAAGACCCCCAAGAAAACATTATTATGTTGATGAATTGATAACACCAGCTTCATACCCACCGAGCCTCCATGTCTCGCACCAATGACGTCTGTAACATGTAATTTATAATATACAATAGACAATTAAAAAAAAAACTCGAAATAACAGAGGCGGATTAAGATAGACAGCACGATGAGAATTACAACGCCGTAGATGAGGGTATGAGCCCTTTCGTTGCCCAAATCTGACGAAATCCAAGGTCGACATTTAATTAACAATGAATGCATCTGTCATTTGTGAAGTGGCAAAGATCAAATTCACTTGATCACATAGGATATACATTAATAACCTTATTAAAACCATAAAATTTGGCTGTAAGCTTTTTTGAACTCATCGGTGTTACGGAGTTACGGGCATTGTTGTGCGAAAAGAGACGTTTCAATTTAGATCGAGGTCGACATCTTGATTATATTTAAAACATCTGACATTTTCGCCCTGGCAAATATGAAGGCTATACAGAGTTAAAACTACAAGCATTGTTGTGCGAATCGATTTTATCCAGATAGACAATTCTGACGAACAGTGGTTCCCCGATGACTTTCGGGGAGCGGTGAGATTCAGTCCTTTCGTATTTCGTATAGGAATCGGTGAAATTTCAAGAACAATTAACCCAGCCTCTTACCAAGTTCTTGGTGTGAGAAATAGTTAAATATATTAACGATCGTCAATAACAGTTTTATTGAAGCGAAATATATCATTTACAATATACAATTTGATCGTTTGGTATGGCAGTATTTGTAAATTATTTATGTACAATAATAATTTTTCATTGCAGAAAAATACGTCATTAAGGTATACACTTTATGACCGTTTAGGTGCCCGTAATAATAATAATAATAATTTATTTATTAAGCGCCTATTACCAGAAATATGATTACTGTCTTGTGGTTTACCCGGTGGGTTTTGAGTTTGTCCAATATGTAGTGAATATGGGATAGAGTTCGGGTAAACTATAATTTATTGTTTTACAGAATTCTGAAATGACTCCCTATGTGCACCTACTTATTTCAGAATATGTCCGTAATTGGTTGGGTGGTGTTTAAACAGGCAAAAGACATTGGTTAGGGCTGTTTTAATCTAACACTATGGTGCCCGTCATCATATTTTAACAAATCCGAGCAATCCATCAACTGATTTAGGATGAGAACTTACTTAAAACAATGTTCACCTCACGGTTTTACGTGTCGAGAAGTAGTTTTAAAAACTAATTTAAAAAAAACAAGAGAGAGAGAGAGAGAAATGAGGTTTAACGTCCACTCGACGGTTTTACGTGTCGAGAAGTAGTCTTAAAAACTAATTAAAACAAAACGAGAGAGTGAGAAATGGGGTTTAACGTCCACTCGACACAAACTATGTCATTTCGGGACTAACATATGGTTTAATTTTATTTCAATAATTCGCTTGCGCGTAGTGGAAGGAAACCGGAGGACCCGGAGAAAACCTACGAGGTTGGACGGGCGACCCTACTCCCTGTCACGTACAACCGGGAATCGAAACACCGTCAGTCCTGTAATACTAGATACGCCATATGCAAAGTATTTATGGTTTTGGGAGAGAGAGAGAGAGAGAGAGAGAGAGAGAGAGAGAGATAAATGAGGTCTAACGTCCGCTCGACACAAACTAGGTCATTTCGGGACTAACATATGGTTTAATTTTATTTCAATAATTCGTTTGCGCGTAGGGGTCTTTAGCAGTAGGAGGAAACCAGAGGAGCCGGAGAAAACCCACGAGGTTGGACAGGCGACCCTACTCCTTGTCACGTACAACCGGGGATTCGAAACCACGCCAGTTGACTAAATGACAGGCCTTATGATACATGCACGCACGTGCTAACCACTCGGCCATCCAACCCCCTAAAACAAAACAAACATCTCTTTTTAGATTTTATGTTTGACGCACAGTGTGAACAGGGTGCAACGCCTGTGTATCTAACAGAACTACTAATGGAATTGTATACCAACGAACGAGTAATTTGAGATACTATCATCAAAACATTTTTGTGCATTCCATCATCAAGTCGGAGATAGAAGCTTTAGTACTGCTGCAAAAATAACAACCAAACAAATTTACCTAAAAAAAATCGCGACATCAACTCTTACATGTTTCAAATCCCAATTATAAACTCGTTTGTTCAAACATTGCCATGGAGATTAAATTTAACAGACATAATCAAAGAATGAAATGTGGTTTAATGAAAGATTTAGTAATATTTTTGGGGCTAACGTCCCATTCCACCTAGGGTGATATCGCTGACTTGTGTCTTATTGGGAAACTTACAAGAGAATGATAAACAATTCGATGTCCTGGGCGTGAAGAACAAACTGCATCTCCTCGTGCCACCATTATGATAGGTTAAGACCATCAGTTTGTTCTCCATTCACATAATCATCATTCACCCAATCTGATTAAAACGCAGATTCTATTTCGTTTCGTTTTTTTTGTTTTTTTATATTTTCAAATTTCCTTTTACTTGTCTTTACTACACCAGGATCTGGTTGATGTGAGGGATTAGCCAATGATATAGTCTCTGGCAGCGAGTTCTTGGCGTGCGATGGACGGAACTGTGGGTATTCCATTTAGAAAAATCAACGTCATGAACCCTCCCACTACAACTGGTCAGATCATCATGCAGTACTGGCTCGCTAGCCTGGAGGTCGGGTGTTCGATCCCTGCATTGGCCGAGAAAGTTCATCTTGATTTTCCGGCGTGATTTCCCCTTGTCAGTGATGCAGAACGGAGGGCCTGACAAGGACAGCTGCCCAGTCGTTCGGATGGGACGAAAAACCGAGGTCCCGTGTACACATTGGCGTGCACGTAAAAGATCCCTTGGCAGTTGGAATTCGATATAAGAGTAGGCCGTAGCGCCGCTGCCCGGGCAAAATTTCCCTCATAGCACACTGTATGGCGTATGCCCGTCTTCAATTAGCCCAGGTTAGGTGCAGAAGCGTAGGACGTTAAACCCCATTTCATTTCATTTCATTTCATTTCATAGGTCTTCGAAAGTATAAAAAAAAAGATCTGTATTTTAATCAGATTGATCATCCACCTTGATTGGAACTACTTATATAATCAATCCCATAGTCAATCTGATTAAAATACAGATCTATATTTCGTTTTTTTATACTTTCGATGGCCTACACTACATGAAGATCTGACAAGTTATAGCTATAGGTCACGTCAGGGGTTAAAAGACCGACTTATGACCCTATGACGTCAGACATTTGATTAACCAATCAGTATTGATGTTACTAGTGGATTACCCACACGCCTAAAGCTCGCCGTAACAGACCGTTTCATTGGCTTATCCCTGACACCATTCAGAACACGAGTTAAATAACAACTCTTCCAGATCCAAGTGTAGTAAAGACAAGTAAAACGAAGTTTTGAACTATAAAAACGAAACGAAATAGGATCTGTGTTTTAACCAGATTGTCCAATAGTAGTAGAACACCCCCCACCCCCGAGCAGCACAGCTATTAGATGAATATTATAGTTTGTTCTTGTTATATTAAAAGTATATATGTACTTACAATTTGCAAATTTGAAAGCATATCAAAATTATTCTTGTCAAAGGTTGCAAAAAAATGAAACCGGTAGGGATAATGAAGACGGGCATACGACATGCAGTGTGCTAGGCTATGAGAGGAATTTAACACGAACAGCGGCACTACAGCTTACTCTTATTTCGAATTCCAATTGTCACGGGTCACTGTACGTACATTGGACCTCAATTTTCGTAGCATCCGAATGGCAGTTGGAATTTGAAATAAGTATAAGCTCTAATGCCCGGACAGTTTCCTCATAGCACACTGCCTGGCGTATGTTCATCTCCATTAGCCCGATCGGTGCAGAACAGTAGAACGTTAAACCCAATTTCATTTATTTTATTTCACGGAGGGAGCCACGGTGGCTAAGTAGGTAAGACGCTGGCTTGCTAGCATAGAGGTCGCTGGGTAGATCCCGGTGTTGTCCGAGAAAGTTCATTGGGATTTTCCGGCATGGTGTCCCCTTGTCAATGGTGCAGGATGGAGGACCTGGCAAGGACAGTTGTCTAATCGTTCGAATGGGACGAATAACCGAGGTCTAGTGTATAAATTGACGTGTACGTAAAAGATCCCTTGGCAGTTTGAATTCGATATAAGAGTAGGCCATAGCGCTGCTGTCCGGACAGTTTGAATTCGATATAAGAGTATAGACCATAGCGCCGCTATCCTGGCAAAATTTCCCCCATAGCACACTGTATATAGCGCAAGCCTTGTTCATTTGCCCAGTCGGGGCAGAGCAGTAGGCGATTCATCTCATTGCCAATTAATAACAAATCCTATACATACCTAGCTGTATTGTTGCATATTGATGTTATAATCGTAAATAAACCCACCGGATTTCAACTTTTAATTTACTCTGATTCGATTCCAATAATATTTTCTGAGTAACAATTGACCGCTGTATTTATGACCTGGGTGTATCATTCTGGAATACCATTGGAAAAATAAATTCTGTAAAATTTGAACAATAAATCAGTAAGAAGGCCAAAAGTTCTTTCGACGATCTGATAAAAGACAATTATTTTGGGACATGTTTCTATCAATGAGCAAATGTCTAAATATAATCCTTCCTTAGTACC